TTCACATTTACTGTCAAAAACTCTTATGACTTTGTTAATGAGCTTATAAAAATTCAATGATCTCTTTTGATGTAATAGTTTTATTCACAAAACTTCCCATTAATGGTGCCCTTAATCTAATCAGATTACAAGACATAACATTTATACAAGTTAAAATTGTACTTGCATTTGTTTAGAAAAGTCTACCTTTAAATTGAATAATGAATTTTACTGAATGATTGATAGCTTAGTGATTGATAGCTCTCAGATTAAGTGATCTTTATATCTGACATTGACGATGCTGACATCGATAAAGATCCTTGCATACAATTACGTTTGAGCAAGAAAATAAATAAGTGATTACCTTTCTTAGAAGTCCTCCTTATTTTTGATGACACTGTTTATCGTTTTACTTCCATTTCATAACCTTCTCTCCCTAATCAAAAGACAGCAACTTTGCACGAACTTGTTCACAGTGCTTCTGAAATTTGCTCTAATAGTTATCTCCTAAATGAAGAACCTTTACCTTAAAGCTATCACGGCAGAGCGCAGTTTTCTTTCCATTATTATTACATTTATAAAAAAATTAATCTCGCAATACAAATTCTCTAATTTGAACTTTAATGATTTGATTGTTTTACCTTATTTGAATATCAGTGACCAGATTGCTAAGATTTTGAATAAATTTGCTTACAGGGGAGGAAAAAATAAAGACTTTAAACTTAATCTAAGTTTCACCAACTTTAATGACCCTATTGCCGATATTAATAGTTGGAAAATTTAGCAAATTTCGTGTCAATGTAGTAATTTCGTGTCATAACCTAAACGTATCCTTAAACTTCCAGGGTGAGAAAAATATGTCTGAGATAAAGATGTAAACCGATCTTCCATCGCCATTCATAGTTGAAATTTTATTCACGGGTTTGAGTTTTTTTCCCCCTACTAAAATCCTTTAACATTGTTCATAAACTGAGCTCCGATTCATCCATAGTTTACGAAATTCTAGTAATTCCGTTAATCTTCTTTCTAGTATCCCACCGATACAAATTAATTGAAAATCCATTCTTATTTAATTTATCTCGTACGCGCGTGTCTTTTTATTTTCTACTATCATTCAGTGTTTAGACACTGAGGAAAGTTCTTGTTTGCAGAATCAAGACAACAGTATGTCTGTACTTTTATCTTGGATCAAATAAAATAAAATTTGGATTAAATTAATTTTTAAAAAAAAAATTATTAAAGACTTTTTTTGGAGAAAACAGGGAATGTCAGAACCTCGAAAAATAAAGAAAATTTCAGGAAATATTGATGGAATATTTTTTTAAAAAAATCGTATTCTGTCGGAAATACCTAAAACCTGCTATATATATCATATACATGCTCTTTAAAATTAAAATAATTTTGAATGTTTTAAAATCATTTTAAATAAACTGAATAAAGAAAGTTTGTTCTGAAATATTTTTGTTCATATATCCAAGCATTTTTTAAGGCTCGCATGAAAACTAGAATAAACCAAGGTTCATGAATTTTTAAATTATTTTTGCGGAGTGATAAAAAAAAAGACTATTTCAAATTTCTTAAATCAATAATCGTACATCAATTTCGTTACGGTTACCACTAATAAAAGAAATTACTCACAAAGCGGAACAAATAGGTATTGCTGCGTGTCTTGATAGCAAGTAAATTTATTAATTATTGTAATTTATTGATATAGAATTAAAATTTAGAAACAATTACTAATTTTAGAACTAAATGTTGTGATATCTTTATTTTTCACTACAAGTATTTTCTTAATAGCAAATTGCAAGTATGTTTTTAATGCTGTTTGCTGCATCACTGATCGAAATAAAAGGCACGAAAAATTGCCTCAATATGCTCGCTTAAATTTCGGTGATCTACCAAGTCATCTTAGTGATTCAGATGTCTGGCGGTGACTTTCGGTCAAGGGTTCATTCTCCAAATCTCTGGATGCTCGAGAATCATTCCCTAACACCACAAACAGATGTGTAGGGTCGAAGCTAGGCGGAAGAAAATATAGAAACCCTCCCCCCAGACACTGAACATATTCCATGCAGCAGAGATTTGAAAAAACCATGCACTTGGATAGAAGACAGAGGAAATTATCACCGTTACTACAACAAAATTATTTTGAATTATGAAAAGAAAACAAAAAAAGTTAATAAAAAGTAAAATGAAAAAATTAAAGTAAACAAAAAAAATATATAAAAAAAATTAAAACAGCAAAAAACGCAGAAAAAGAAATATCTACTTGACCATATAAAAACAAAAAAACAGATTATCGTTAATTGAAAAAAGAAGTTAAATAAAAAATACTCAATTTTAATATAGAATTATGAGAATAAATAATTTCCTAGGGCTTAAAGAGAAAATCTTGTTTTTTAAAATTATGTAACAGAAACAGAATTTACTATAAAAATTTATTAAGTAAAGAACATCAACGTCTGTACAAACTATTGTCTTTTTTTCTAAAAAAAAATATCCGCAACAGCAAATTTGCGTTCAATAAGTTGCAATACAATATATACCTTTGAAAATAATGTCGGTTTGTTAAACTTCTGAGTTTATTCTTTTGTGGATGATTTGAAAATGTTGAAGATAGTTAAATTTTGAGATACATTTTAATTTGCAATAAGACTTGCATTATGCATATATTTGGTCAATTTTTTAGATCTTAACTTCAAAAACTGCTCTACCGTTAATTATGCACACTTGATATTTAATATACACACAAAAAACCAACTATAGTTCTTTAAATTGTTTGAACATAACTAGACATCAAGATTTTTATCTAATTTAGATTTTTTCAAATCATGTAAATAATTTAATTTCACAAGTTTAGAATTAACTTGGCTTTCAGAAATATGAAACTTTTTATTAAGTAAGTAAGTTCCTATGTAAGTTCTTATGATATTAAAAAGCGTTGCAATAAAAGAGATCAAAATAGTTTTCTGCTTCTTTCTTTATTATGTAAAGAAAAAGAATTGTCCTTAAATATATACTTTACCTAATAATTTTGATGCATAATTTTTTTAAGACATTTTGAAAACAGTTTATGTTTCAGCTTTTATCAATTATTATTCTACAAAACTTTAAAGAATTAGATTTTTTTCACAATATTTCTTCTTATAAATCTAAATGTTTTTAAAACTGTCAAAACTGATTTCATTTTTGTACACTTATTGGATTGTAACATGTACTAGATTAAAGGTAGCTTAAAAAATGTGATATTAAGAAAGCTATATATCTATTGTAAATGATGGAATCGATACACAGGCATCAGGAAGCAGAGACGCAGTTAAAGTTGCTAAATTTCTTCCTTGTTGCTATTACATATGGGTGCGCACGAAAAATAAGGTGTCTGATCTCATGGAAAGTACGAATTGCAATCACTAGCTCTAGTTCTTTGGAGTACTCGGAAATATTTATACTTGTAGATCCAAAAGGGGAATCTTGTTCTAATTTCCTTAACAATATTTTGAACAAATACTGTTTCCTGCTCTTTGTTTTGAATTCAATGCAATGCGGTTGATGAATCTTCCAAAAAAATTGTTTTGCATTTGTAAGATTCAAAGCCTTTTTAACAAAGAGTGTTAATATAACACCAATATCAAGCCATCATTTCCAATCTTGGAATAGACATTCTCTTTAAAGGAGCACTTCTGGACTTTGCATGCACCAAATAACTTTTACATTCTCTTTCCCTCTTGTACACAACTGATGCATAAGCAAACCCAGAGTCGTCAGAAAATGTGTGCAAACTTATTGAGGAATCGCCATCAAACAATATAAATCTGGGAACTTTCACTCGTGTCAGCAAAAAAAAAGTTTTTGACAAGATAATAATTGGATTGGCAAGTCCGCTTGGTACCCGTTAAGCCAATAAGCACCAAATTCTTCTAGTCATCGATTTTTCTGATTTAGTTACAACACTTACGTCACAAAATAAGGTATTTTTTATAGCGATTCCACAATATACCTCAGGCAGGAGCTGGTTTAACTACAATTTTTGACCTGTATTCGATAGACTTACACTCTCTCAATTCGAATTTGGAATTGATCATCAATTCTGTAAGCACTTTAACAAAACGTAGATAATGGGACTTCATTGCAAATTGAAATTTGAAAAAAAAAACACTTCTTTATAGCAGCAATCAAGTCTATACACTTTTCTATGAACTTCAGGTATTGGTTCAATGGTCTTTTTTCTGAGCAACCATTTAAGGAAGGGCTATCTTTTAACTTGCATGAAATATCAAAGACTAGTTAAACTTGCTGTGGAAATTTTTTGAACACTCCGCAATGAGAAAAATAATGTAAGAGATTTGAAATTTTTTCTGAAGGTACTTTTTTCTATAATGTATCTTCAAGCTGTATCAAGATTAGCATCCGAAATCAATTTTGATGTAAGTTCATCTAATCTTTTCCTTATCAGTAATTCTATCATCAGGAAGTTTTTAACCTCTTCTCATGGTAACTCAACTTCGACGACCTAGTTATTGGTGAGGTACCTGCCCACATCAACGGGCACTAAACCTCTAGATCTGTACTTTGCCCTAAGGCAACTGTTTCTAATAGTATGGGTAATTGGAGGAAATTAAGGCTGTTGACGGATGGAGTAGTATGCTGTGTTGTACAGTTCAAATCATGATCTTAATTAAAGATATAATGTTAGATAAAATATATAGGAAACTTAATATATTTAAGTTAATATAGTCGTGATATATATACGTTTCAATTAACATAGTCGGCTGTTGAATAAACATATAATTGATTATCCAGTGGGAACAATTAGGTATATATCTAAGGGTGGAATACTCCCGGGCTAAGAATCACCTTTGTTCATTTCCTCTTCGCGGGAGTATCCTCATCGCGGGGGAGGGAAAGGGGTTATATCTTCCCGACAATATCCCATCCGAAAGCAGGAAATTTATGATAAGGTTATGATTATCTTGAATGAGCTCCTTATTCAGAATTAGATTGAAAATCTGCTCTATTTTGGAGAATGTAGAAGAAGCTCAGTTTGCTGCTAAATTCACTTATACTGTCGATATTAAGATCTCATTCTGCGTGAAAGCTTATTTTGAAGCGTCTCAAGCTTCTTCATCTGAGTATTAGTTTAACAGTTCCTGACCGGGCTGTCATATGTGCCAGGAATCTCTGTAATAATATGGTGGTGGTACTTATTCCTCTTGGCCCAGAACAAGGCTAGACCAAGTCCAAGAGACCGTTCACCGACAGAAAATCAAACACCATCTGCGGATCCTCCAAAATAAAATTTTTCTCCAGTCCCATACAGGTCAGCAAATGATCAGGTGAAGCCTAGTGAGCACTACATTTTAGGCATACAGGAAACGTCTTTTGACCCTGAACAAATGTTAGTCCGCGGGTATGACCAGTGATTAGTCTTGTGATAGCTGTCTGTAATTTCCTATCACCTTTTAGCTCCAGGGCAGCCCCAGGACTATTTTGTTGATACCATTCACGACTAGGTGGAATCCTCCAAGTCCTATTATTGTCGGCCTTTACTTTTGCATAGATTTCATTGTATGTTAGAAGGCCACTACTATCTATTGGATCATTGGTGCCCTCCTTGGCCAGTTCATCGGCCAGATCATTAAAGTGAAGGTTCACGTGGGAGGGGATCCACTGAAGATGTATATCATTGTGATAAGAGTAAGTCATCAAATTGTCGATGATATTTAGGCCAATTCTGTCACTGATGTTTTGCCAATTACTCAGGTATTGAACTGAGCTCTTACTATCCGTGAAAATCCAGATATTCTCTGTACTCTCAATGGAAATCATGTGTTCTAGATCCGCGTTTGTGGCGATTAGTTCTGATCTGAAAACTGAACAATGGTTTGGGTTACGCCTTTTAATTTTTGTAACGTCATCTTGGTTTTTTATGACAACACCACTACCAATGTTGCCATTATCAAATTTACTTCCATCCGTGAAACCGTTACCGGAATAAAGGCAACGGACGAAGTCATACTTCTTCCCTCGGGAGTCCATGGTACTACAGACACCAACAGAACCTAGTACCAACAGAAGCTACACACTTCTCCTCCACCATGAACTGTTCTGTAATAATATTCTTTCAGGGATTTTCTCGAATGTTGGAATAAGACTTATCGGTCTGAAATTAGTGGCAATTCTACTGTCTTTCCCTGGTTTCGGGATAAGAATGATGGTAACATTTTTCCAATTATCGGGGAAGATATTATATTTCAAGAACATAGGTTATTAATTTGATTTATTGATAGATGTTTCATCATAATGTGTTATTAACATTGCTTCTCCAGGTGACCTTTCTGTTGTTCAATTTATTTATATTACTGATTATGTCGGCCTGGTTGACCAAATGTATAGGGCCAGAGCTGCTATTATTTAAATAATTTTCATGAGTCTTGTTTGCTTTTTCATAATCTTCGTCGTTACTTGGGTGAATTCAATTCAGTTGAAATTGATCTTCTATAGCGTTAGAAAGGATTTGCAAATCATCTAGCAAAAGAATATTTGAAAATATTCCAGTTTGTTTTCTTGCTAAGAGTATCTTGAATAACTTTCCTAAGGGTGATTGTAACGGGGACGTGGTCACTCGACAACTCGGTGACTGTAAGGCAGAAAAGTGGCGTATTGCTATTCGTGATGATAAAAATACAGCAGACTAAGCCTCTTATTTGCTACGAACGGAAAGTCTTTATATGCTGTGATTGTGAGATTCCTCTCCGCAATAGAGCTTTTTTCCATTTTTATTATTCACTCTACATACCCAGGATGTATTTTTCGCATTAAAATCATCTCCAATAATGCTCTTTGTGTTGGAAAGAAACAGTGAATAAATGGTATCTTTGCTTATAATTTTACCAGCATGTACATTGCAGTAAATTTGTGGGCAATCTTATCATTATTATTAAAAAGTACAGAAGTTTCTTCATAATTTTTTCCGTTGTTACTGCTACACAGAACTGTACTTGAACTCTTTTTAACAAATATAGCTCCACTTCTACGCATAGTTCCATAAGTCGTGAGATAATTTGCTAGTGATAGTCTGTTTGAAGCATTAGTATGTGTTTCTGTTACTAATGCTATATCAATTTTATTTTCTATGATGAAATTACTGAACTCAGTAAATTTATTATTTCTTCCAGCCGCGTTCAATAACATAGTTCTTAATCCCTTATTATTCATGATTTTTCTTATTTATTTCCCCTTGTTAGATTCTTTCAACTTCTCTTCTGTGCAGTGGAATTGCTTTTAGACCGTTGAGGACACTTACTATTTCATTTAATTTGTAAGAGACATCTACGGTTTTTTTGCAAGTCCGAATTCACTTGTTTTTTAACAGCATCGCCTTTCAAAAACCTTTTCCTGTGTATTGTTCCTTCTAGACCTTTGTCTTGGTCCCATCGGAAATTTAGGACATCCTCTATGACTGGCCGGGTGTTCTGAACCGCAGTTGCAATACAGAGGTTTCTCATCCTGCGTTTTAGTTCAATTGGCGGTCTGTTTCTCCACATTTTGGGCACATCGCAGCCGAATGGTAAAGACCCCCTGGCACTGATGGCGTTGTGCCTGTCTAGTTCGGGTCTTACAGGCTTCTACTCTGACTTTTAATCCATCAACATGTGTTACGTCGTAAATTTCCTTGAAATTATCCTCTCTGCATAGTGATACGAGGAATAGATTCAACTTTTTAGTCTCTCCTCTGAACCTTCTCATTTGTTTAACCTCTTCTACCGGAAATCCTTCTATGGCCAGATTACTTAGTAAATTTTATTTTCCATTATAAATTAGAATATCTTTAAAAGCAGTCCGCATGTGCCTCTCATTGGGGAGTCTGCATGAATAGTGGTCGTGATTGTAATCTTCGACATACTTTCTGATAGTCCTCTGGGTGTTATCTCATTTAGGTTTCATAGCAAGTCCTTTAGTTTATTCCTTCTCAGGGGAAGCTGTTCCTCTATTGTCAAGTTTTCCAAAATTTCTTCTATAACTAATCCATCTAAAACGCTTTGTACGTTTCCACACATAATTTAATCCAGCACAGATAGCTCGCTACAAAAAATTGCATATGAATTCCTTGCAGTAACGGGAAAACATTCGTGATCTGAGTAGGTTTCTGAGAAGTGTTGTTAACGAAGTGATCGGAGTCCTGTTTTAGATGGAATAATATTGCGAATCTGCTTCCCTTAGCCTGTAAAAATCAGTACTAAAAGAAGGAGGGGGAGAGTCCTACATTCAATCAGCTTTTAAGACAATCAATTTCTTACATATATTTAGATTTATACAATATACCATGTAGCATAATATTTAGCATAACCATGTAGCATCATTATAGACAGTTGTGAATAAATTTAAAATTTACATATCTGAACAGCAAAAGCTTAACATCAGCGAAGAATAGGCAGAATCCAGGTTGTAAGAAGTCACATCCTCATCTTCTCCATCTTTTCTCAGCTTTTCAGCCCCTCAAGCTTTTCTAAGGAAAGAATTTCATTAATTAGAATACGGAAATACTCTAAGAAGCAAATTATAATACACAAAATTGAATAAAATAGAAAAAAATTGAATTCTGGTGCCATAAAACTAGTTTATTTAGAATGAAAATATGATTAAAAAAATGCACCAGAACATTGAAATTAACAGCACTTCAGAAAAATTTGATCATACAATATTATATATTATATTATCATAAAATATATATGATCAAAGAATATATATTATCATAGAATATATATTATCATAGAATATGCTTCGTCAAATTGCTTTTACTGTATTAAAACTTTAACAAACGCATGAAAATTATTTAAAAAAATGCTAAGTTTCATATTGCAACGTATGTAAGAATGATTTAGTATCGCGCATGCTGGTAAGATCGATATAGTCAGACACATTTGAACACCAGAATAAAAAAGTTCCTTTTAAAACAAGTATTAATGAGGAAGTCATTATAAAAGAGATAAATGCTGAATGTCTCTTAAGAGCATTTTTAGTATTGTATAATTTATAGATTAGTGCAGCTGATCAGTGTGATCAGATCTGAAACTGTCAAATTGGCAGAAAATTCCTCCAACCATTTGAACAATGAAAAAAGATTGGAAGAGCCCTTCAAATGCCAAGTAAATAAAAGTAGATTGGCAATTGCCTAAGTTGAAAATTGAAGAAAAATAAATAAATAGAAAGAAAAAAAAACAGGTAAAGTTGCAAGTAAAAATGATTTTATATCATATTTAAAAAGATGTATTAGAAAAGCAAAAAAAAAAATTACCATTGAAATTTTATTTCTGAAGACTTAAATCATATTATATTTAGATGAATACGCTTTCAAATAACTAGGTAGCAGAAATATGCTAATAATATTTGAACCTAAATAAAATTTCCATTGTAAATTAAACTTATTTACCATTACCAATAAAAACATGCTATGATCAATAATAAATAAAATCATTAATGTAGACTTAATTCTTGAAAGATAATTCTGCTTGTCATTTTTTGTTTATTTCCACGTGGTTTTTCAAACTACAATATTTTTAATACGATGTAATTTCAATAAGCAAAATTTCAATTTCTGATATCATTTCTTGAACGGCTGAATTCACGACAACTCCATCATAAGTCCACATCATTTTCCAGTACATTTTTTTTTAAAAACGTATTTATAGATAATTTCTCAATTTTTGATAATTTCAAATTACATCCTGCACACAATGTCATTGAGACACTCAAATTTGAGATTTGAGTAACCACTATTTTTTAATGATTTTTTCGAAAATCCTTTTTCGTCACTCCTGACTCAATAGTAATTTTGCGTTTCATAATTATTTTTTTCATATATAGCAAATGTCAAACCCTTCTCCCCCCACTATCACATTGTTTGCCTTTCATGATCTGCATAGTCCAATAAATCTTCAAAAAGGCAAAAAGATGCCATTCATTTAGCAACCATGGAAGAGTTTCAGCAGGTTTAGTTAAGTCAGCAACATTTTGACTGTCTGAAGAAATTTTTTAAAAAAAATCAACGAAAAAATTAAAATTTTTCTATAAAATTAACTGATTTTTTTTCAGGCTTTTATTTAAATTTTCTCGACTTTTACAGGTCTTTTATAGAATAAGAAAATTTCCTAATAATTCAAGGTGGATTTCCACCCCGCTAACATATAAGCCCCCCCCCCCCAAATAGATAACCCCTGGCAATTTCTAACAAAATTGAACAAGCAATCAATAGGCTAAATCTCTGCAAATAGGCTAAAATGATGGAAGTTTCTGATTTTTTTTTCTATAGAAAAAAGAATAAGTTATTTGTTTAATACATAATTTCAAAATGTCAAACTGTATATCATATTCTAATACTTTGGATGTAGTAAAATTTCAATATTACTATGTCACTATACATTTAAGAAATTTTTGCATTATAAATTTATGCAATAATTTTATTTTTGATACAGAATTTTTTTTTTTTTGTGTAAGTCTAAAATGCAAAAAAAAAGAAAACCAAGAAAAACATCAATTTTATTTAAGTAAATAAAAACGAGAAATAAATATAGAACAGAGACAGTTCTTATGCCACCTTATTTTTGAATAGATGGTATGCGTGCTTTAGAGAAATAGTTATTTTAATTGAAAATTTTTAAATATGATAAAAAATTTTCAGGATTCAATTTATGCTTGAAAAAATGCTCTAAACAAAAATTAGATTAAAGTTTTTCTTACAAAAAACACTTAGAGATGATTGAGTAACAAAAAAAAACATGATTCAAAAGGGTGTTTTAAAGTTTGCAAAAAGAAGCAAAGAACAAAATTCACTCACCAAATGCTGATTTATTTCCGCACCAATAGGAACTAATTACTGGGTGCGAACAGTTGCTTCCCATTCGTCAGATCATCATTCTCCGTTTCTCAAAGCATTTTCAACAATTCAAGAGCAGTTGGTTTCAAATGTGTTTCAAGATGTTTTACAGCTGGAATGAAAATGTATATATTTTACTCAATTTGAAATTTTAGAGAATTCAATTGACCTATGAAAATATATATATATATATATAATATATAAGCAAGGTTCAAAATAAGTGGCTGATAATCATAATTCAGCCATAAAATTTTAAATTTTGAGGCCCCAAAAAATACAATCAGACAAAATTTTTGACATAAAATTTTAAAAATATCTTTGCCTCCCCTATTCTACTCTTGACAGAGATATATGATGGACAAGACGATACGAATATAATGTCTCATGCCCTGACTATATTAGCGAGTGTCCAGAGCTGCGAATGCTGAGCTTGAATAGGATTGTCCTGGGAAGCTGAACTTGAAATTGATTATTAACTTGAGCATTCGTAAACCACACCAGGAAATAAATCGAGGAAGTTCTATTTCCACAAGTGGATTTCTTAGAATCCCAGCACATAGAGCTTTTTTAAGCAAGTTACAGACAGGATGATTCCATGATAATTTCGTACCATTTGATGATAGTTTTTCTGGAAGTTAACTATAATATTGTTGGTGCCCTTTTACATGATTTTTATATTCTAATATATTTTATATAATGTATTTAATTCATAACGATTTATATTTAGGTGCCTTTAATGCCTGATTCTTACATTCTAATTCTAGATGTTTATATATATATATTACATATCTGAACAGCAAAAGCT